AAAAACCAAGTTTTAAAATGATTCGAAGAAAACCTGGGAAAATTCTTTACAACTTTGGGATGGAGATTCTTAAGTTACAAAAAAGCAGAAACCCCAAAGAAAAAGACCGATACATTTGACAACATTAAACTGCTTCATAACACAAGAACCAGGTAAAAGCAAAGAGGGGAGCAGCAGACACACGGGGGCACCTAAAGACCTCAGTAAGAAAAGCTGTCAGAAACACAAGCCAGAGTCAGAAGGCCGCAGAGGAGGTCTGAACAGACACTGAGCACAGGAGCAGATGTCCAGCCTCCTCACTCGCCCGCTCACCCCCACCAGACGAGAACCATCGCAGGGTGTGACCAGCCACAGCTGAGATGAGGCCGTGGGGAAGACGCAGCCTGCGTTGCTGGTGGGACTGTTGCTTGGATAAGCACTTTGGAGACGTCTAGTGACGTCAGAGGTGTGTAGCGCCCACGAACCAGCAGGACCAGGTCCAGACAGACGTCGTGCGCACAGTGAGACACACTGGCAAAGGCCATGGAAGTTCCTGTCGGGGAAGATGGGTGAGTTTGTGGCAGGAACTGTGCAGCAGTTTCCAGGAACAGTGGGCCCGTGCGCGTGTCCACACCGATGAGCTTCAAAGATACAACAGAGTGAAGGTTCAGGCTGGAGAGTGAGGTGTGCAGCCTGACTCTTTCCTGTGCTGTGTTTTGTTGATAGATGCACGAGTGTCATGTGGTGGTGTAGGACGACGAAGTCGGGGTGCCTGTCGGGAGTGACCATGGGCAGTGGGGCCTGATGCCAATATGACAGAACGCTAGCATTTCCGTCTTGGGTGTGCGCACACGAATGTCTGTTCTCTTTTCTTCTTGCGCTTTCCTCAAAATACAAGTAAGAAAGAGACACGTGCTTCCTGATGGTACAAGGACTGCACTTGGCCATGCTCGTAGCCTGGACCCACCGGGCTGAGGCCGGTGGGAACCTGGAGGGCCAAGGCCGCGGCTGTCGTCTGGCCTTGAGTGGCTTGTGCCCCTCCCTGGGCCTCAGCTTCCTCAACTGCGACAGTGACCAGAGACTGGGCGGCTCTGGGAGGAGGGGACCTGCTGCCTCTGGTCTCCTCGCCTTTCTCTCCTGCTGGGGCTCCCTTTCCATTCTTGGCTGGAACCCAGAGCATATGCATCTTGTAAGGCCTGACCCAGCCCAGCAGCCACGTCCTGGAGTTTTTCTGAGGCCTCTGGGCCAGCCTGGCCTCCAGAAGTGCCATCATGTAAAACCTGTGTGTGCACGCTCGCACGTGTGCCCGCAAGCTCGTGCCCTAGGCGTGCACGTGGGGCCGCGGGCGTGCGGGCGAGGGTGGTGGTGCGGGCATGCCCAGGTGCTCTCCCTCCCGCAGATCCTGACCGGAGAGGACTGGAACGCAGTGATGTACCACGGGATCGAATCGCAAGGTGGGGTCAGCAAAGGCATGTTTTCGTCCTTCTACTTCATCGTCCTGACGCTGTTTGGAAACTGTATCCTTCTGGTCAGAGCTTGGCCGGGGCCGCCTCTCCCCTTCCTCCCCCAGGAGGACCTGGGGTGGGGTCCTTCTTGTCAAGGGTGGGTCATGACTGAGGGTCAGCTTGAGTTTCGTCCAGATGCTGCCCGAGCTTGGGCCCGGAGGAAGCATGAGTTGCAGGTGGGGATGAACAGGGGTGGGGATCGCAGTCAGCTTGGGCAGAGTGGTCAGAGGGGTCCGCGGGTCAGGAAGGAGTCTGTGGGGCGGCGTGGGCTGTGAACCCTGAGGGCAGCCATTTGTTTTGTTTTGTTTTGACTTTAATTCAATAATTAAGATTTGTCACTGGGCTTTTAAAAACCTCTCCCCTGCAGAGAAACGTAGACAGTTTTTCTGTGGAGAGGCCCTGGGGCTTGTTTCAGGGACTGCATGGGAGGGAGGGCCTTGGGGTCAGGGCCAGCCCAGGGCTGCTGCCTCTGCGTGTCTCTCTGGCTGGGCCCCAGGGTCATCGCCTTCATCCCGCTCTGGGGCCGGGGGAGGCTGCTGCGGGCGCATGGCTGTGGTCAGTGCCAGGCGGTGGCCGCCCAGCCTCAGCGTCCTGCGGGCTCTGCTGGAGCCCTGAGCAGGCTCGTTTTGGAGGCGGTGCCTCTAAGTCTCGGGGGCACCTCCTTGCCAGACGGAGGGCCTGGCCCACAGGGGTCACACTGGCCCAGAGCCCCTGGGCGGACGGCTGCAGCCATTCTGTGGAGGACCCGCTGGCACGGGCACACGCCCCTAGGACTGGCGAGTTTGACTGAGGGGAGGGGCTGCTGGCATCGAGTGGGCAGAGGACGCCCGACGGCAGAGCACTGCCTGCCTGGTGTTAGCACGCCGGGGAGCGAGGTAATGGGGAGGGCAGCCATCTGGCTGGGGAGGGCCTGTGTCTGCAGGGACTGCGCGGGGGTGCAGCCCAGGGGCCGGGTAGAGGACAGTCTGGAGAGGGGCTGTCCCGGGAGCACAGGAGAGGACAGGGCTGCTTGGTGCTGAGGTGGACTTGTGGAAGCGGCAGCTCCAGCCACAGGAAAACAAGCAACTCGGGTCAGCGGCAGCACCAGGGCCTGACCCTGGAGAGATCCGAGAGGGACTGGGGCTGGGTGGGAAGGAGGCCCCACCACCAGTCCCCCTGTGCCGGGCCACTGGGTCCTGCTGATTCTGGGGCCCTGGTGAGTTACTTAGCTTCTGTGGTCTCTGTCCCCTCATTTCTGACTGGTGCTGCAGGCGTCCTGGGACTGGCGGGGGCAGAGCCCCTGCGGTCTGCCGTCGGCTTGGCTCGGCATTGCTTCTGCTACCCTGGAGGAAGGGCACCTCCAGGAGGGGTCCCAGGACTCCACTCTGGGAAAGGAGGGAGAGAGCAGACCCCGGCAGGTGTCCGTGAGCCCAGGTCTGCCTGGGGGTCTCTGCTCAGGGAAGCCTGTGTGCAGCCTGTGAAAGCGGGAGGTGCGCTTTGGGAGGCTTCTCCCGTTGGCCCGAAACTGGGGAGAGGTGGGGGCAGAAGTAGGCAGTCCTTGTGCCGTCCTAGGAGGCAAGACAAATGAATCCAACACAGTGTGAGCTTCCGGCTTGGAAAGCCGGACCTGAGGGGCTGGGCGGGGGAGGGCTGTGTGGGCGTTAGGGGAGGCTGGATGGTGTGAGGTGGAGTGAAGGGAGCTGGTGGGGGCCGGGGGCCACGGGGCCCTGGCGGCCGGGCGGGGCTGTGTCTGGGGATGACAGGCTGGACGGGCTGGGGCGAGGGAACATGGGTCAGAATCTGGGAAGCAGGGAGGAAGCCCTGGTATGACCATGTGAGAGGATGTGGGGCAGAAGTATTCCCTTCCTTAGCTGAGGCCAACCAGACACCCTGCTGAACGTCTTTCTGGCCATTGCGGTGGACAACCTCGCCAATGCGCAGGAGCTGACCAAGGTGCGTAGGTGTGCAGGCTGGGGTGCCACCTGCAGCCCAGGTACAGTTGGGGTGGGAGGGTCAGTCCATGTCACCCTGGATGAGGCCAGAGGGCCATGAGGAGGGCCATGTCCTGGATTAAGGGCTATGTGACCACTGTCTAGAAGTGTCTCTCCAGGTCCTGAATGGGCAGGGTTAGGCTGACACCAGGGCTGTGGGGGTTGACGCTGAGGAAGCCAGGAGATAGACCATGCCAGGAAGGCAGAGGACTGTGAGGGCAGCTCCGGGGGAAGCCAAGACCTGCGGAGAATGGCCAGGAAGGTAGGAGGAGGTATGGGAGCCAGAGATGGCTGACGGGGTGCAGCCGAGAGAGCCCAGAAATGAGAGGGGTCATGAGGTGGGAGTTCAAGCTCTGAGGACCCTAAAGGGCAGGGAGGGGCCCCCGTGCTCGTCCCCGGGAGGTGAGGGGG